AGTCATGAACAGTCACCACCAGCTGAGCCTTCTTGTTCTTCACTAAGATGGTGACTATATTGATTCCTGCTCGAAGGACAGGTGGCCTCTTAGTTTCTAAGTGTCTGTTTTGTCACAGCATCTAGTAGAGTGCCACAGGATAGTTTGACCCCCCCTACACACACACACACACACACACACACACACACACACACACACAGAGAGAGAGAGAGAGAGAGAGAGAGAGAGAGAGAGAGAGAGAGTTATATACAAATGACAAAGAGGAATGAAAACACAATAAACAGGAAATAATGTGGAAGAAATTTAGCTTTATTGAAAAGTAAAATTATAATTTTTCCTACATGTCAGTGCCCTGGGATTTTATAAGGAAATGACCAAAAATCAGCCAGCAAGTCTAAACTCTTAGTAGAATCCAGAAAGTCTTCCATAGCAGCATGGACGATAGGTACTGTAGGCATATCGAGAGCCACAGCCACAGCCATAGCCATAGCCCAGGCCACCATAGCCGTATCCCAGGCCTCCGTAGCCGTAGCCCAGGCCTCCGTAGCCGTAGCCCAGGCCTCCGTAGCCGTAGCCCAGGCCTCCATAGCCGTAACCCAGGCCATCATAACCGTAGCCCAGGCCACCAAAGTAGTTTCCGTGGCACATGCTGTCAGGAATAGGAGTTTTCTTGAGGCAGATGAGGAGCTTGTGGTGTGTGAGTCTGCTGCTAACCAGGTGTGGGTCCTTTTATACTGCCTGAAAAGCATGTGAGGCAAACCACAGAGTCATCCAAACTCATTACCATTAAAAGAAACGACAGATACGCCCTCAACAAACATGCTAACCATGTGTCCCAGATGAAATTGTCAGTGTCAGGATTTCTCACAGCTGAGATCATGAGACTCCTGGTGACTTCTATGCGTCTGTGTTTTTCAGAGATGGCCTACTTAAAATTCTAGTTATAAAACTGACAAGAGTCCGATACAATAACATAAAATATTTGTGTTGTGCCTCCAAAGATTTAAAGTTATCTAGTTTATATCTCTGTGCTAATTACACCCCTTTTCTATCTGAGAAACCTTTCTACTGCTGATTTTCCCCAGTTTATGTCAGAAAGAAAAGTTTGAAACCTCATTCCTTTTGTCTACTTCAGGCTTATGTTCTGTTCATACACTGCTTGCTTCTTCTTTATTTTATAGGACACCCAAATCCTCATTTCCTATCAAAATGTTGCTTTGTTCACAGTTTTGGTGATGACCTTCCTGTGCCCCGCTCTCTTTTTTTCTATTGGAGAACTTATACAACTATACTGTATTTACATCCTTTAAACTCCCCCTGCTCCCCAACTCCCTCAAAATTTATTAGCTATTCTTTAATTTTTATTGTATATGTATGTGTATATGTATATTAGATATACATACAACCTTCTGGATCTATTTCATGTTGGTCGTATGTATATGTTGTTTAGGCTGACTACTGGTATTGGATAACTTATCAGAGGGCCAGTCTCTGAAGAAGACTGAATATCCCTATCTCAGCAGCCAATCTGTAGCTTTTACTCATTGGGTGCAACCTTGTGAGCTCCCCTCTCCCTGTTGGTATGCACATTCTTCTTGTTGTTCTTGTACTGGTCTCATAGGACAACCATGTTTTTGATATTTCATGAGAGTAGCTTCATTGAAATTTATTAAGGACATTATTACAATATAGACATTCTCTTTCCACCCCTCGATATAGAAATGAAGCACAGGAAGTTTAGAAACTCATTCATTTGTTGCTTGACTCACTATTTCATCAAAGCTTCTCCAAGGATCTCCCATTCCTAAAATTGTTACAGAAAGCCATGGTGGAAAATATGCACAAAACAATCAGTCCCTGTTGTCTAAAGGTATCAATGAAGATAAATTAAGAAGAAATATTATAAGAATGATTTAGGTAACAATATATTTGGACTGCAGTTTCCCTTGTTTCTACTCCTCCCAGTCCTTCCTCCTTTACCTCCTCTTCTAAGCCAGATCTATTTTTTTCTTTGCTTCTTTCTTTTTCTTTAATCCTTTTTTAAAGTCCAATCATTATCCCCTTACTGGTCTGCCCTCCAACAATTCCTCACTCCATTCCTCCTCCTGATCTCCAAGAGGATGCCCTCCCCCCCCCCCACCAGACCTCCCCACTTCTTGGATCCTCAAGTTTCTTGAGTATTAGGTGCATCTTCTCTTACTGACTTGAGACCAGGCAGTTCTCTGTTGTGTATGTGTCTGGGCCTCAGACCAGCTGATGTATGCTGCCTGGTTTGTGGCTCACTGTCTAAGAGATCTCAGGGGTCCAGATCAGTTGAGACTACTTGGTCTTCCTATGGACTTGTCCTCCTCCTTAGCTTCTTCCAGCCTTTCCCTAAGTCAACCATAGAGGTTCCCAGCTTCTGTCCTTTGATAAGCATTAAGCCAGATCTAATCTAAACAAAAAGCAAATAATCGTTGAACTTGAGGAAGAGAACATGTTTAAAGTAAATTATATATTCTTACAAAATATCTTTATGAGGTCTATCACAATGGAAAAAAATATAAATCAATATAAATTTTTATATTAAGAGATATATATGAGAAAGAAAGAAGTGAGAGTGATTTTAGCATTATAAATAATTAAGAGAGGGTAATTACAAGATGAGATCAGATACAGAAGGATCATGTTGGGAAATAGAAGCTCAGTCTTGGGCTAAATAGTCAACTGATCCATAAACTCAGAAGCTGAGACTGAGATAAAAACTGAGGCTGGGGCAAGAACATAAGAAGGTTAGAGTCCTAAAATTGAGGGTGGATACTGCAAAGGACTCAAACATACTATAGAAGATATCTTCTTAGAGTCTTAGGCATGCCTGAAAATAAGAAAATGGGCAGCCAACAATACAGGAATGGTAAAGGACTCCAGGAAAGGACAGCCTCCATGGAAGAGGGACCTACTGATCATAGGTCCCATTTAGAAGAGACAGAGAGGCAATCTATACAGTTCCTCAGGCTTTCTTCGGATTGTGTGCACTTGATAGTTGTTCAGGGGCTATGCTGCTGCTCTCTTCAGACCATCCCAAAATGAGTTTCTCTGTTATTTCTCCATTCTCTCTGGGTCATATTATTTATGTTTTCATGTACTTCTATAGTCTTGTCAGTTTATAATTCCACAAAGAAAGGGATATAAGCTACCTCATCATTGACAGTGTTTTGATAATTCTGTGTTAATTGAGTATATTATATTGTCAGTCACCAGTTCCCACATGTTTGCAGATTTGTGAGAGTATGTCAAACATTCTGTTGGGTCATCAAATACTTGTACTATTTTATAGTCTGTAATTATTGTATTCCTCTCAAAGAATTCTACTATAGATATTTGTTTTCATTTTATTATAAAAGAACTTTGTGTTCTCAATAATGATTTATTCACTCATTTTCTTCCTTCATTCAAAGCATTATAACTATTTCCAGAGACTATTTAGACTCTGCCAGTAAGACCTTCTTGGATTCTTCATGATGTTTCTTTGGGATTTTGCTCAAATGTTTACTTTCTCCAATGTTCAAATCACATGCTTCACTTTCTATTCCAAACCCTATAATATTTGACATCCAGAACATCTTAGTACCAGACAAATGCTCTTTGGTCAATTAAATTTTAATAAGATTACTTATAAAATATTTTAACATATATATAATAAATTCTATTTTGAGGCATTCTCTAATATTGTCAACTTAGGAATTCCGAGAGAATGAGCAGCTTTTATACTATTTCTAGTAATTTTCATCACAACTGTTATTATGATTGATGATATTTACATACATGGAGAAATTTTCTGGCTCTTCAAAATACACTATAAGAACAAACCATTTATTTTGCAGGAAAGTTTTCAACAAACATGTTAAGATCTAGTAGGTAAAATTTATTTATTAATAAATATTAATTGTAGGCCAATAGGTTGGCTCAGGGAGAAAAGACACTTATTCCCAAACATAACAACTTGAATTGGTCTCCAGTACCCAGATAGAGGAAAGAACTGAGTTCTACAAATTGTCCTCTGACATACACATGTGCCCTGTGTCTCACATGTACACAGGCATACAAATGCAAACACACACATACACATACATACAAACACACACACATACACACTAGAGAGTTTTCTCAGTGTTTCAAAAGACTGGCTATTTACCAAGGTCATGGGTACAATTGTGAGCACACACAAGGTGTCACACAACCATGTAACTCCCTGTTTCAGGATATCTAACGCCCTCTTCTGCCCTTCACAGGAACCAGGCACACAAGTTTTACACAGACATATGGTCAGGAAAAAACAATAATACACATAAAATAAATAAATAGATAAATGAATGAATGAATGAATGAATGAATAATAAATAAATAAATCTTTTCAAATTTCATCCTAACAATATGTTCAGCATTGTGTTCACTAAACAGTGGACATATAAACACAAGTATATAATTTTGACTGACTAAAACTACTGATGTTTTCATTAATTATGTTTAAATCTAATTTATTGATTTGAATTCTTATCACAGTTGAAGAAATCAATAACATATTTCTTCACAAATCTGTTAAGTAAGCATAGGGGATCTTCCAAACAATCTTCTCATTTTCAGTACCCCTAAATAATTCACAATTTACCTTGGACAAAAGAAGTATTAAAAGTATCTTATGGACAAATGTTGAAGGCTAACACTAAAATATTCTGTGGTTATAAAAGCAGGCCAACTGAAACTATCAAAAATGCTCCAGTGTCTTTTTAAATTAAAACTTAATACTGGTGTTATTTGTAACTGCTTACATTGTTGTGTAATGTGATTAAAGCTACCATGATTTGTAACAGATGCTTCTGTAACACTTTAAGTGTTTTCTTAACAGCACATAAATACATTAGTCATAAAATTAGCCAATGGCACGAGCCCATAGTAGGTCCCACCCACACTGAGAGAATATAAAAGGGCTTCTCTTCAGGCAGAAGTATACAGACTCAAGTCACCTACTCTCCTCTCTACCCAAGAACAACCTCAACAACCAACACCATGTGTGGCTACTACGGAAACTACTATGGCGGCAGAGGCTATGGCTGCTGTGGCTATGGAGGCCTGGGCTATGGCTATGGAGGCCTGGGCTGTGGCTATGGCTCCTACTATGGCTGTGGCTACCGTGGACTGGGCTGTGGCTATGGCTATGGCTGTGGCTATGGCTCACGCTCTCTCTATGGCTGTGGCTATGGATGTGGCTCTGGCTATGGATCTGGATTTGGCTACTACTAAAGAGACCATAAGAGACTTTCATCTTCTCCAACTGTGACTTTAAGACTCACCAATTCTGAACCCCAAAACACTGAGCCTCTTCTCTGAAGATGATGCTGCCAAGAAGTTTTTAGTATCCACTGTGATTTGCATCGAGGCCACATGCTCCATGAATATCCCTCATAAAGAGAGGGAATGAAGTTGACTTGACTCCTGTCACTTCCATAGTTCTCAGAATAATATCATCATAGCATTGACCTTGATGACTGTCATTCTTTTCCTCATTTATTGAGTCTCTAATAAACATCTTGAATACAAAATAAACTCTAGTTTTATTTCATTTGTCAATGTCGAAAATATCTTATTGAAATGATTGTTTTGAGCATCCATGAAAGACAATGATCACTCTCTTGGACACCACTTGCTATTTCTGGGTCAACTTCTTTACTATGTTCAGGTTTGTCATCCTATGAAAATGTGTTCTTGTAAAGAAAGATTTGTCCTTCTATGTAACTATTTTTTTAATATTTTTATTCTTTATTGGATATTTTATTTGGATTTCAGATGTTATACCCTTACCCCGTTCCTCCCCGACCCCTGCCCAGGAAACCCCTATCCCATCCCCCCTCCTCCTGCTTTTATGAGGATGTACCCCCAACTACTCCCCTACTCCCACATCTTCACCCTCGAATTCCCCTACACTTGTTGTCCAGCCTTCATGGGACCAAGTATCTCCTCTCCCACCTATGTCTGACAAGTTCATTCTCCCCTATATATACAGCTGAAGCCATGGGTCCCTCCTTATGTGCTCCTAGGCTGGTGGTTTAGACCCTGGGAGCTCTGGTTGGTTGGTATTGTTGCTCTCCTCATGGGGCTGCAAACTCTTTCATCTCCTTCAGTCTTCTCTCTAACTCCTCCATTGGGAACCCTTTGATCAGTTCAAAAGTTAGCTGTGAGCATCCTCCTCTGAATATGTCAGACTCTGGCAGACCTCTAAGGAGACAGCTATATCAGGCTCTTGTCAGCATTCACTTCCTGACATCCACATCAGCGTCTATCTTTGGTGACTGCACAAGGGATGGATACCCAGCTGGAATGGTCTCCAGGTGGCCCCTCCTTCAGTTTCTGTCCCACTCTATGTAACTCTTAAATGCAAGCACTATTATGTATAAATTTGCTTAATGAGTATCTAGGAACCAACAGTGTTAAAATGTCCACCATTTTCATACACCTTATGTCTCAGAACCAACTACTGCTTTCTCATCTTCATTCCTACCCTACAAAAAGGTTTGCAGTCTAACAATATTTTGTGATATACTCACATATACACAATCTCACATACTCTGTCACCTTTGATTTGCTATTAGAAGGAAGTCACAGGCCATGTAACAATGTGGAGTGGGAGCTCATGCTTTGCCTACCAAGACATAGGGTCTGTGCCTCTGCCATGATAGGAATTAAAATGTACCCCTGAATCCAACGTGTTCTATGTATTGGGGGTTTTTTGTTGGGGAGGCTTTGGTAGAATTTTATGGATTAGACATATAGAAATAAAGTTATTTTTTTTCTCAGCACAGCTTTGCCTTTGTCTTCTGCTGCTTCTAAAGAAAGCAGCTACTCTATATTAAATTAATTGTATATTAACTGTATATGTCTGTTCTTCATAAGGTAAGGAGCTATTCTAAGTAAGACTTTAAAATTGTAACCATTAACTTCTGCAAAATCCATCACATGTCATTCGAAATGTACCTTGCCAACTGATTTGCTATCATTAAATCTGTCAAATAAAACTTTAGTGTTTTCAGTTTCACTAGTCCATTGTTGACCTTTCCTGGAGACCCAATAATCTGAGCTATACAGAAGTCTGAGACAGGATTACAAGTTCAAAGACATACAAGGTAGCTTGTCTTTAAGGAAAAAAAATCAAAAGATAGAGAATATGTTAGCAGAATACGGATCTTTCACACCGTGAAAGAACCACTATCTACAATACTGTGTACCACTAAATACAAACTAAAATAAATAAGTCTCTCATTTCCGTTTTCCTCATAACTAATTTGTTTTCTATTGATTGTTTCCTTCCTGGTACCTACTTTGGTTTATTGAGTAGTGCTTCCTGTAGTTCATTAAAGTGTGAGTATTAATTTGGTTTCATTACCTTTTCATTTTTACTGACAAAAGTGTTTAGTGGTGTGAATTTTCTCTAATTAACTGCTTTACTTTTGTAGGTTTTTCAAGTGTAATTTTATTGCCATTATTTACTTTGAAATGGTAGTTTTATACTTTTAGACAACATTTCCTCACTTGCCTGGAAGTAGTCTAATCAAAGATTTCCTTTTCATATCAAGAACTTGTCTATTTTCATTGTTGTTGTTGTGAGCAAGTTTTAGCCTCACTTCATGGCAAACAGAGAATTTGCAAAAGCTCCTTTTTACTTGTTCCCTAATATCAGTGTTTATGTACATTCTCTGAAAACATATGGAAAGATTTATTCTTTCTTATTTTTGTAAAGGTTAAATGTGCACATATGTACATGACATAAATGTATCAAAACAAGTAACAGTTGCTTCAATTATATTGTTTAAATATGTTATCTTAGTTTATTCTACTTGATTTATTTGTTGTGTAGCAGCCAATTTAGACCCTCCTGTCGCTGTGTTCCTATCCATTCAACCCATCACAACCATTTCTTCCTGTGTGCATTTTTTTAAGATCCTAGATCCACTCTTCAAAAATGCAAAGATGACAACAAGATAGAAGGAATAAAAGAACATAAAAGAAGGGAGAAACGGTAGAGAGCAGGAAGGAATTGGGAACAAAAGAAGGAAAAAGGAAGGAAGGAAGGAAGGAAGGAAGGAAGGAAGGAAGGAAGGAAGGGAGAGAGGAAGGGAGGGAGGGAGGGAGGGAGGGAGGGAGAGAGGGAGGGAGGGAGGGAGGGAGAGAGGAAGGGAGGGAGGGAGGGAGGAATAAAGGAAGGAAGGAAGGAGGGAGGGAGAGAGGAAGGGAGGAGGGAGAGAAAAAGAACAGACAGAAGAAAAAAATTCAATGCTCACATAGGCAAGATGTTTCTTGTTTTTCACATAAACAAGGTATTTTTTCAACAAGATACATCTCTGTTTATTGAGATGGTCAGAATATAAAGTGTCCTGTGTAAATTTAAGGATTTCTGGCTTGAGTTCTCCTCGGGTATTAAGATTACTTATGTGTTATAGAACTCATTTTCTCAGATAATTTAACTGCTTTTTTCCAACTTTCAGAATTGTTGTTTCACATGTTTGTAGCATAATAAGACTTAGGCAGCTATTTATGAGCATAACCAGAATCTTTTCCTGTTGGCTGATTAAAGCCAATAGGATATAGTGATCTGGTTGACATATTTGATATCTGAGCTTCAGGCCTTTTGCTGTGATAATGTACCCTGGCAAGAAGCAGCTTAGAGGAGAAAAGGTTTATGTGAGCTCACAGTTCCAAGTTATGGTTTATCATAGTATTGAAATCAAGGAAACAGGGACAAGAAGTGGATGCTCACATGACATCTGTAGTCAAAAGCAAAGAAAAATGAATGCATGTGTGCCTACTACTCAGCTCATGTGCTCTACTCTGATACAGGCCAGAATCCAAACCTAGATGATGCTGCAGACCATAATGGACAGACCACCCATCATAGTAAATGCAATCAATTAATTAACTGAGCAACTTTTTAATTGTCAGAGAATTTATGCATACCCATGCTCTGATGGATGATTGTGCTATACAACCCTCAAACCAGGCTATGCTTATCTATTCCAATATTTTTGTTATGAAATATTCAAAATACTTTCTTGTCACTCTTTGGAAAGATACAGATCATTTCTAATCATGTCTGTTTCATTGTCACTCTCTTGAGTTCTGCCGGGAGCCAGCCCTGGCGTGGTTGGAGAAGAAGTCTTCTTTCTTTTCCTTATTCTTGTCGGTTCTTCTTGAGGCAGCAGGAAGGGGAGGTAGAAGAGCATCGGTGGGGGTTAAGACTTGGTCTTACAAGATGCTTAAGGCCTTGGGCCTTACAAGATATTTAGGGTTGCTGTATAACAAAGGTTTACTTATTTATACTAGGAAAGTTTATTTACCATACTACTGTAGCTGGCCAACCTTCTGGTAACCTCTGGTCAGAAACTGCAGTTTCTAGCACTTTTTACCTCAGCCCAAAAACAGCAGAGGATTAGGTAAATAGCCTTTGTACTCTCTCAGCAGGAACTGCTGGGCTCTGACTTGCACCTGCTAGTCTAAGGTCACAGGAAGAAAAAACACTTAGAGAAGTTATTATACAGTTTATTACTGAGTGTAAAAATTTTCCTATGAAAGCTCTCTAAGAGGAAAAGTGGAAAGGTCCTAAGAGGGGAAAAGAAAAAAATTCTATCAAAGGAAAAATTCTAAGTGAAAAATTCTAAGCAGGAAAAAAGGAAAGGAAAGGATGAACAACTCCTAAGGAACCTCTACATCTATGACTAAGACTACTACTCTCTTTGTCTTCGTCTTCAGTACTTATGCATCTGTCAGAGTACATGGTCACATGTTACAAAGTTCATCACAAGTTCACATCAAAAATCAAATCATAAATTGAAATAGAAGTTTACAACAGAGAATGTTTACATGTATATCCATTAGGACTAATTATCTGGCTAAATATCCATCACTTGTCTAGCTCCACAGGTTCACTGAAGGTTTAAAACTATAACTAAGAAATTAGTGAAGTTTTGTATAGATAAACTTAGGTAATATTTTATCTTCTGTCCTAGCACCTATAATAAATTGTGAGTTCCATTTTAGTGACCTTTGGTTAGTTGTCTTACAACTTCTTGGAATGTGCTCTGAGTAGGAGAAAGTCTGGTTACTATCTAAGGACAATTGACTGATTACACCCAGGAGACTGGCAGAGTTCTCATTGCAATTTTGACTACCAGAGAGGGACCTAATAACAATCCCACTATAAAACAGCTTAATAATCACTGATATAACTTTAGGAATTCTTATAAGATCATCATTAAGACTTAAGAGGTCATCTATTTGTCTACATAGCACCACTACAAGACAGTACATCTTTGTGAATGTGCAGAGATCTGCTCCAAAGGGGTGTGCTATTGCTTAGTGATTGTTACATATATTTTATAATAATGATAGGAAAAGTATATTAATAGTTGGAATCTTTCCTAAAATAAGTCCCTCATAGCCTTGTTGACTAAGACCTCACTTGTTGCAGATTATATAACAATCCAAGGCAAGCATTTCAGAATGATCACCTGCTAATAATTAGTTTGTCCCATTATGGCTC